AAATGAATGCCGAACCAATACAGAAAATTGATATCGTGTTTAAACCCACCTAAATCCTCTTGAGTTAGGGGATGAGTGCCGTTGTCATGGAAGTAGAAATGACAAATTATCGGTGGAAAACTTGTAAGATTCTCAGGCATACCATAACTTGGTTGAAAATGAACAATCATTTTCAAAAGCCACTCGTCAATCGCCAAGGGTTTTCCCCTCCGCTTATCGGGCAAGGTGGCGAGCCAAGGACATAGGTAAGGAGTATCAGTGGGATTTTTCGCAAAAAAATAGTGACCCTGCCACCCATCAGTTTTATTGGGCGGCATTAATATTTTGAAACCCGGGCGAGCCGAGATAGAGATGTGGAAAGGACTAGAATTTTTTAAGACCATCACACTCCGAAATCGAGCTGGAGTAGGGGTCACGCCCGACCAGGCGCAAAGCATACGGAACCCGGTCATGATGACTATAGCATGAGGATGAAACTGATTAAGGGATACGTTACACAATTGAGCGATCTCGGAAAACCAAGACGAGATGGGAAAAGAAAGACCGAAATAGAACTGTTCCGAGAACCAGGTGCTGAAACCTGGGGGCGGGTTTAAGGGACGCTGATCTCGAGAAGGTAAGATTAGTTCGACGTCGGCGGGAAGACCGATATCACGAACTAAATTATCTAAGTCTACCTCGCTTAGGGTACTGGGTCCCCACTGGTCGTCTAAATCACGCCCCCCAGATAACGAAGGAGAGCCGCTCCTCGCGGTAGACAGAGCGTCATCCCTCCCTCTTTTCTTCGATTTTTTCAGAAGTTTGCCCGAAGGGGAAAAGAAGGGGCCTTCCTCCGAAGAAGAAGAAATGGTAAGGGCTGGGCAATCATCCCCCTCTCCGGAACAACGGCTAGAAGGCATTTTTTGGCCAAAAGGGTCGGGAGAGTGGGAAGACATAGACGATCGGAGGGATAAGACAAGGGCAATAAAAGATAAAGGAAAAGAGCAATACCTTTTGCTGAGAGAAATGGTGGGCACGAAGGGTAAGAACTCCGTTCCAAAAAGCAGAATCGCCGGAAGAGAAAAATAATAGAAAAGGAAGCGCGGAATTGAAAAAGAGAAAAATTTTAGAAAATTGGCAGAGGTCAGATATTTATAGGAAGGGGGTGAGAGGAAAAATTGATCACAGCCATCGATTCGAACGGACGAGATTCAAAGAAGTTCACCTCGAACTCGATGCAAGAAGCGCCGATTGGAATTCCTCAATGATGACCTAGGGAAGAGGGGAAGTCAATCATAACCGTTTATTCAGGCGGACGAGATTCAATGCAGAATGTCTCGAATCCGGCGCAAAAAGCATTGATTGAAATTTCTCCATGATGACCTAGGGAACTCGAATCGACCACACGGGATGTCAGAAGTAATTAATGGAGGAAAAAGGGGAAGGGTTGCGTGCATCAAACGTACATGAACTGAAATCAGAACTCGCACCTCGTACTCCGTACTTATAAAACGAGGTAAGAAGAAATGAACTCGTCTTATAAATAATGAGTAGGGGGGAGTAGTTGATACGGGCCACTATGACGATATGAGTAAATACGAATTGAGAAGAGCCAAATTACCATTATAGGGCACGATGTCGGGCGGCGACCTTCGAACAACGAGCTGGCAACGCCATAACTCGGATTCCGGCATAAACGTGACCTAAAGCAGGCCCATTAAGAGAAGGCCCAAACACTTGACTTGAGGGAGGAGCAAACCCTAAAAAGGAAACCTTGGAGACCAAGGTTTCCTCATCTATAAATAGAAGGATCATCAAACACACACACACACGAAAAATACACTATTTACTGTTACATTGCATATACACACTCATCTTTTCCGATCACTGACTTGATCGTCGGAGCTCTCCCGCCGGGAATCCCTCCCGGCGTTGCAGGCACCATCACCGGAGTACGGACGGAAGTTGAGACGAAGAAGGCGGAAGCCCTACGGACCAAATCATTTACACACAAAAAATCAAGCATTAAGCCACAAAATGAAAACTTGAACATGGAAAATACATTAAACGCGAGCAGTTCCACTAGTTAACCATGTTGATGATGATCCAATACAAATAGTTTTATAACTAAATAAAATTACAAACATACACAAGTTCATCAAATTCTTGTTACGAGATGATACTGCAAATCCATCAACAAACATACACAAATTCTTACTACGATAAAGCGACCGCTAGAAATAGCGGATAAATAAAAATTAAAAATTTCAACTAACTTAAATCGTCTTCTTAGTAACATGATCTAAAATTTCAGCTCCATATTTGGAGTCCACACCTATCAAAACTTAGACTGGCGAATCATAAAAAGTGTTAGGGTAAATAGCAGTTAACCTCCCGTAGTTACAAGCTTTTGCAGATGGTCCCTTGTGCTTGTATTATCAGTACATGACCTCCTTGTGGTTGATGGGGTAGTTTTTGTTAGTTTTTCCGTCAAAACTCAACCGCATGTGTCAAACGTCAAAGTATTTTTTTAGCAGATGACCCTCTTGTGCTTTCATTTTTTCTATCATTTTTGCAGATGAACCCTTGAAGTTTGAGACGGGCGGTTAAGTTTGACGGAAAACTAACGGATCGGAAGCTACTCCCTATAAATCACAAAGGGATGTGCTGATATTACAAGCATAAGGGGTCATCTGCAAAAGTTTGTAACCACAGGGATTTAAGTGCTATTTACCCAAAGTTCTAATTAAAAAGAATAAATTGCGAATCTCGTAAAATCTGTTTTTTACTCTTTCTAATATTAGTTAGGCTTATGGATTGACGAGACTCGCTTGATTTGAGATTTGCCATTGGAAAGTCTAGTTGGATTCGTTGGATCGATCAGTCTTAACTTTCAATACTTTAATTATTTACATCTAAGCCGAATAAGAGTTAATTGCACATAAACCCCTGTGTAATCTTAAATTACTGAAAAATCCCTTGTGTTAAAACATTATCAAGACCCCCTCCCCTATGTTATATTTTACAAAGCACACCGCCCCTTTTTCATTTTTTCATGTTGACTTAGATGAAATGACAAAATTACTCATAATTCAAAATAAAACAAAATAAAAATATTCAACCCAAAAAATAAAAAAAATGAATCGCTCAAAAAAATTAAAAATTGAAAACAAAATCCGAAAAGAAAAAAAGAGAGGATAATGTACAGTTGCTTCATCTTCCCCGTCAAACTAACACACCACCCACTCCCTCCCCTTACCCCCACCCCAAACCCGAATCCAACATGTTTCTATCAAATTCCTCAAATGGTGCATCCACCGCCACACACGTCGGAGAGCTACTGTCTACTAGCAATTTAAAAGCTCCGCGGTGGCGACGGTGGTGGATATGGACGTCGTCAGGGAGGTGGTTATGGGGGCGGACGTGGTGGAGGCGGGTATGATGGTGACTGTGGCTCTCTTCCTGTGATGTTTTTCATTGAGGAAGACATCGAGCTGGTGTGAAGATGGTTGCCGGCTGGAGTGACGTTTGTGGTTTGATTTGGGAAGATGGCCTTTCTGGAAATGGGAAGGATCGAATTGCAAAATTTGAAAACTTCATTTTGGGGCATAGAATTATGGGGTGAATTTATAATTTTGAAAATGTATAATTTAAAGGGTATTTTCGTCTTTTGGGGTCAAAAATACACTCTCAGTCGCACAACCTGCGCGTGCAGCACACGATAAGCTGTTAGGGACCTTATTGCCTTTGATTAATTTTCATATTCTTGCCAATTTTTTTAATATGGGTGCTTTTTCTGCAATTCGAGATTACTCAGGGGTGATTTTTGCAAAAAACCCATCAAAATAAAGATATCGGTAATTTCAAAAGTCAAGGACAACATATCCTATTTATTCACTATTGGTTATGATGAGAGAACTTCAACACGAAAAATGCGTAACAACTAACAAGTATATGCAATCCTCTATATTACTGTATTTACTAGAGAGAGAGTGTCAATAGTGTGGACCTACTTATAATATATTTTAAAAGCTGATAAGCTGTTACATCTTATTTTTAGAATTAATTTTTAAAATATTTTTCTAATAAACTTATTTGCTAGATTTTTACACATTATAAGACCTTAAATCAAAAGGTGGGGGTATATGTACTTAAAAAAGAAAAATCTTATTTGCCCTCAAACAAATTATTTTTATAAAATTTATTGTAAATTACAACCACCCCTGAGGTATGATCAATTTACTAAAAACTCCTCTTGTTTGGATAATTTACATCTATCCCTTCCAACTATGATTTTTTCTTACATCTCCACCCTTATGGTGTCAAATTCAACATAATCATCCAAATTTCGTGGAATGTGCTCTAGTTTATACTCGATTTGTGTAAAAATACAGTTTCTGATGCACCACAATCTGATATATACAAGCCAAAAACCACATATTATGATCATCTTGTTTCAAAATGTGGAGTTCGAATGGGATAAAGCGGGTACAAAAGTGATAATATTCCATATAATCTCGAAAATTCCACTAAATTTGAAACCGCAAGGGTGGACGTGTAAGAAGATTTATAGCTGAGGGGTGGTTGTAATTACCCAAACAAGAGGGTAGTTTTCGTAATTTGACCATACCTCAGGGGTGCTTGTAATTTACCCTTAAAATTTAAGATTTTTTTTTTTTAAATTACCAAATATTTTGGAAAAACTCTTAAACATCTTATAAACTCTTTTTAACATCTTATAAGTTTAACCAAACACCCTATCTCATCAAAATTTGCCTTGCAAAATGTCGTGAGACTTATTGGTAATGAAATTATATGATATATTGTGCGACTTATAGCTAATGACAACGAAAAACAAAGCATATGTATGTGAAATGTACATACAAAGTAAAATAAGGATACATATATAGCCCTTACATTGTACTACAAATTGCTTTGATTTTTCAAATTCTTTAAAATGGTTTTAAACATTATTTTTAAAACCTTGAATAAAGTTGTAAAACTTAATGTTTGTGCAACCCCTACAACGATGGACAAAATGCTACATCCTTTTAAAAGTTAATTGAAGAAAAAAATAGAAAAACCCCTTACTAAGTTACAATTAGAGGAAAAGAGGGAGACTATCTATAAAAGTGTATCGTTTATAACATTCGAGAAAATTCATATCATGCATCATTCTAGATATTTCAGGTGATTTTATGTGATTCAAAATCAATACTTAATCTTGAGTTGAATTTTCTCTCTCTACATATGATGAACATGAGGAAATTTCTTTATCCGAAACTCTAGCATTCCACAGAACTGGCTTTGGAGGAATTAGTATGGACTCTATACTTCCTTCTAACATTTCAATAACCTTTGACATCGGTGGCCTATCCGATGGAGATGTCTGAATGCACCAAAATCCGACCAAAAACATTTTGTTCCTTACAATTTGTTCTTCGTTGTCAATCATAATATCGTCTAATTTCTTGGTGACATCAACTACATGCTCATAGATTTTGTCAGGAAAATAGCTCTCACTCGATTGAATTGCTTCATTTTCGACAAAATTTCTGGCTCCAGCCATTTCAAGAACCATCATTCCATAGCTATAGACATCAGATTTATGAGAAGCTCCTCCGAAATTTCTGGAGAATATTTCTGGAGCAATGTACCCAATTGTGCCTCTTGCTCCAAGCATCGATACTATACTCTGCTTCTTCTTGCACAGTTTAGCAAGCCCAAAATCTGATATTTTTGGACAAAAATCCTCGTCTAATAGAATGTTCTGAGGCTTAATATCGAAATGAACTATCCTAGTATTGCACCCCGTGTGCAGATATTCCAAACCTTTGGCAACTCCAACTGCAATCTTGCACAATTTGTCCAAATCTAATGGACAATCATTTATCAAAAACTTGTCCAAAGATTTCTTTGGCATATATTCGTACACTAATGCTCTCTTATTTTGATTAAAGGAAAATCCCAAGAGATTGACAATATTAACATGCGCGGTTCTACTGATACTAGCTACTTCATTAATGAATTCTTCTCCATTGCTATCGGTTTCGATCAAAACCTTGACCGCAACAAGGGATCCATCAGGGAGTACACCTTTGTAGACACTACCATATCCTCCTTTACCAAGTTTCTCATTGAAAGATTTGGTCATTTTCTTGATCTCTGAATATTTGTATCTTTTTGGAGCCAAAATTCCATGTTGGACTAGAATACTTTCGACATCTTGGTTATATTTCTGGTTAGAGCCAGCTCGCGAATGTCGTCTTTTGAGGTAGAAGCATATGACAATGAACACTATAACCGCACCGGTTACAGTAAGTAGAACCACTGCATATAGTGGTAGGATATACATAAAAGCTAGCTCGTATGTAATAATGTAAACATATATATAATAAGTCAAAATGAAGAAAATGGAGTGAGAAGTAAAAGTATTTTACCTACTATAATTATGCCAGTAGCAAGCTTTTGTCCTGCAATTTAGTCTTGGAAATTAAAAAAGATACATGTAAACCTTATAGGGTTAAATACAAAGTGCACCCCCTACTATTACCAGCGTCGCATATACTCCATGTACTACAAAATTCGACAAAATGACCCATTAACTTAACGGTCAACCCTCAAATCTCTAACACCGTTAGTTTGTGTAGCATAGTTACATTTTTACCCTTACATTTATATGATATAAATTGGCATTTTTTGACTTTATTACTTGGCCATTTTTTATACTTTATTACGTAACACTCTGGTGGCATCGACAAATGGTTCTACAAAAATATGCCTTGTAGTGTTTAGACGTAAAAAATGAAATGCATGAATTTGGAAAATTAGAACTACGAGAAGCATTTTAAATTGAGAGTTTTTAGGCTGAAAGTTCAATTTTTTTTCTTTTGAAATCTAAAAAGAATTCAAAAATATTTCCAAAATAAAAGAAACTCATAAATTTTGGGTGATATTACTAGACTCGGAACATAATTGCAACATTTCATAAATTTAAAAGGAAATTATAAATAACCTTCAAAAATATTTCCAGAATATATGGGTGAAAGTTTTAGGTCGTGGAAAATAAAAATAGGAAGAAACATAAAAAAAATGGAGATTAAATTGAGTACAATAGAGAAAAAAAGAGGAACACTTTCTGTAAACAACCATAGGGGTATTTTTGTCTTAAATTGTCCAACAACCGGTGCAATGCTTGGTCAATTTTGAACACGGACGGATTATTTAACATATTAGGCAGGGGCTATATACGACACTAGTGATAGTACAGGGGTTCAATTTGTATTCAACCCAACCTTATAAAGCTCCCAACATTCAAGAAGAAAAGGAATCGGAAGAAAATCAAAACATTGTGCATACCTTGTCCCGTGTGACGATTTTCGTCATCACTTTTAGGGGAATATGAAGGAGCTGGTGCGGACTGAGGAGGCATACCTTGTCGAAATAAAGTAATTAATTCCAATGAAATATAACTTTCAATACTTAAAGATCCATTATATATAACCAAAATAGAAAATACAAGCTAAACATTCTCAAAATGGTAAATAGGAGAGCCAAGAGACTGAAATTAGGATAGGAGGAGCCTGAATTTAATATTGAAATGGGATAAATATAAACTAAAAGTTTTGTGCATAAATTCCTCACCAACAATTTTTATTATTCTAGGTTTAGGGGCTATATCTCTTTTGCCAATAAGACCATACCTTCAATATTTATTATAAATGAAGGAGAAATTAATTTATATGACAAAATTACTCCCACCCCTTTACACCAAATTCTTTATTGTAAACCCAATTTAATCAATTTTGACCACAAAAATCCAATATTATCTTAAAAAAAATTTTTTTCAAAAATTATTTTTTTTGCCGTCGGTTTCCGGAATTGACTTTTCGATTTTTTTTTTCTGGTATGTTTTTTCCACCGCCAGTTTCCGGCGTTGACTTTTTCAATTTCTTTTTTCGCCGCCGATTTCTGGCGTTAACTTTTTTTAGTCATATTTTTTTTTCTCATAAAAATTTTATCCGTTTTTTACGCCCGCCGCTAAACGTTAACCGTAATTGTACCGTCATTAACAGAAATTATATTGTCACTGAAAGTACATCAACGTAATTATACTGTCGTTGATAGAACACTTATGTAATTGTACTGTTGTTGACAGTAGTACAATTAGAGTCCACGGCAATATTATTATTTTTTTGGATTTTTTTTAGTTTTATTTGATTTGTTGACAAGTCAACGTAATTATATTACTGTAAACCACATCAATATTATTGTTATTTTGGGTTTTTTGTTTTGTTTGAGTTGTTGACGGAGTAACGTAATCATATTATTGTCTACTATTGTAATATTACGGGAAAATTACATTTTTCGTCCTCATACTTTACTCACTTTTTCAAAACTGTCCCTAAACATTCTAGAGTTACAAAAGTAGTCCTTAATCATGCCATTTTTTGACAGAATCGGTCCGCCGTTAATTTTTGCGGTTAAGTTGGATGGAAAATGGCATGTGCCTCTCACATGCCTTCAATTTACAACACTACATGAAAATAGACTTTCAACAATACGCATTGCGTCTTGTTAAAACATATTTTTTATAATTATTATTTTTAATTAAAATTTAAAATAAAATCGAAATCACGTAAATTCCAAAAAAATGATCAACTCATTTCGGAAATATTATTTAAAAAATCAAAATATAGTTTAAAATTTTAAAATATTGTTCCAAAATCGGCATTTTTGGAATTCAATTAAAATATATCGTTTCCAACCAAAATAAAAAAACCTCATAGGAATTGGGGAATTAGAAATTTCCATTTCAATTTTCACCTGTAGTCAATTCCAAAAATCTCAATTGTGAGACAATATGTCGAGTTTTAAATCATTCAATATGGGTGAATATTGGAAATGATTTTTCTTATGCCGCCTAGTTTGATCGAATTTTTATTTTATTTTAAAATAATATATTCATTCAATTTCCAAAGGTTTTGATTTTAAAACACAATATTATTTTTTAGACAATATTATGATTTTTTAAACAATATTTCTGAATTTATTTTGAAAAACAATATCGAGTTTTAGATTATTAAATAAGGGTGAAAATTGGAACGGAGTTTTCTTACTCCGCCTATTATGATCAGATTTTTATTTTATTTAAAACAATAATTTTCATTTGGATTCAAGAAATTCCGGTTTTAAAACATTATATTATTATTTTAGACAATGCTTCTAAAAATATTTTGAAACAATTTATGGAGTTTTACATTATTAAATTAGGGTGAAGATTGAAATGGAGGTTTCATATCTCACCTATTCGGATCGAATTTTTATTTTATTTTGAAACAATGTTTTCATTTGAATTCCGAAAATCTTGATTTTGAAAGCATTATTTCATTTTTTAAAACAATGTTTCAATTGTTTAAAGAATATTTCTCAAAATAATTTAAAACAATATATATCGATTTTGTTTTTTTGGAATTTATATAATTTCGAATTTCAATCAAGTTTTAATTATGAAAAATCTGTTTTAACAAGACGCAATGCGTTTTGTTGAAAGTCCATTTTCATGTAGTGTTGTAAATTGAAGGCATGTGAGAGGCACATGCCATTTTCCATCCAACTTAACGGCAAAAGTTAACGGTGGACCAATTCTGTCAAAAATGGCATGATTAAGGACTACTATTGTAACTCCAAAATGTTTAGGGACAATTTTGAAAAAGTGGGTAAAGTATGAGGACAAAAAATGTAACTTTCCCTAATATTACTCTAAACACAATAATATTACTGTGGTTAACGGTAATATTATTGTTATTACTGTAACATTACTGTCAACCACAGTAATATTATATCCTATTCACTAGTAGAAAATTTGTTTATTACTACGATTTTTTTTGCTACGGTAAAAAACCGTAATAAAAGATACTTTTTATTACGGAACAATTTTGAAGTTGTAGTAAATACTAGGATTTCCGTTGAAAAAAGTATTTGGTACGGCCATTTACCGTAGCAAAGCTTTTGTCAAGCTCGTATATGCTACGGGACAAATTTCGTAGCAAATGCGTAGGAAAAGCCTTTTTAGTACGAATTTGATACATTTTGCTACAGTTAATGATTGTAGTAAAAAGCCATTTTTCTGCTAGTGTTTGGTTTTTTATTATGTTTACCTTTGTTGAACGGTCAACATATTATAATTACTCTATTACAAAATAATAATGACTTTTGTTGTGTTAATGTTATTGTGCTAGATATTAATGGAACAATATTACCGTGTTAAACTGTAGTAATATAATTAATATTACCGTCAACCACAACAATATTGTTGTTTAAACGGGGGCCAAAAGATGTCAAAGAAAAAAAAAATTGAAAAAAAAAAAGAAACATATCGAAAGAGTCAACGCCGGAGACCGGCGCGGAAAAATCAGGAAGAAAAAATAAAATAAAATAAAGTCAACGCCAGAGACCGGCGGTGATGGACGAAATTGTCCATAAAATTGTATTTTGGGTCAAAATTGAATAATTTGTGAAATTTGGGGTCAAATTGATGTTATATTAAATTAATGAATGAAATTGGAGTATATTAAAATGTGAGGGATATTATAGTCTTTTACAAACCTCTAGACAATGTGTGGATTTTTTCATAAAAATTTTTTTTTGTCTGAATTCCTTTATGAATAAGTATCGATTAATGTGTTTATTTGTAAAATGCCTTAAAAAATGTGACTACGATTACTTTAGGGTGGGGGTTGCTGTGGCTCCGACAGTAATTTTCTTGCACACGTATTTTTTATTAATATATCTCAAAAATAGATTGTAGCCCCCCAAACTTTTGTAAGTATAAAATATGACCCCTTAATACTTTTGTTTTTGTCCATAATCTTATACATATAAATCTACATATTATTTTTCACATTTATCTTTTCACTAATTTAAGGCACCCGATGTTGTATTATTTTAGGACAAACAAAATAGATAAAAACAAAATATATGCATCATTGGAAGATAATACAAGAATCATTTTTTAATATACAATATCTTGACCAAGAAGATCTTTTTTGATATACAATACCTTGAGGGGGCGGAGGGGGGACAAGAGGAGTGTCATCCAATAACCACCGGATGGAAAATCCAGATGCAAGAGCCGTACGCAAAATGTTTATGGACGAAGGCTCCGGATTCTGTAAAGACCGCACCACCGTCTCACTCACCGGAACGGTAATACTGTCCGCGCAAGTGATGTTGGGTCCGGGGCCCGCCGATGTAACGTCGAACAGATTGATTCTTGTATCGGTTTCATCTTCACAGCTGAAACTATTGGGTATTTGCGCCAAGAGGTCATTGGACGACTGACAATCGTAGTAGAGAGTGACGTTGTTTTCTTTGAATTCTGGCAAGTAATCGTAGAGGAGGTTGCCGTCGAAGTCTTTGGTTATGTTGCGGGGGATTTCCGGACAAGTGTTGTCCCACAAGTCTTCCCTCACGATCGTGAGTGTGTGGGCATCGTAATCGATTTCATGTACCCTGTACGATGATGATGAGATTTTCAGGATCGGGACTCCGCCCTCGCAAATGAGCTCGTAGTCCGGGCGGCTGGCGCACATGGGCTTGAACCAGAAGGGTTTGCTTATGTAGCGTACGTTGCCGCAGTTCAATGACTGGGGCATGTCCCAGCATGCCTTTGGCTGCGGCATTCCATCATCTTTTTGACAGAAGAAAGCAGGGAAATAAATTGATAAGAGGATTGCTTCCAGCAAGAAGAGAAGACGTTTCTTGCCGTTTTTGGGTTTGGTTTCCATTTTTAGGAGAGAGA